GAATTGAGCTCGTATAATATAATTGTAACCTGTTGTATAATCGTTTATACAAGAATAGAATAGCAAATGCACAAACAAACTCCCTTGTTGTTGAAGATGTTTTCTCTTCTTGTCCCTTGATTCGAGTCGAATCAAGTCCTTCGATAGCTTGTGGATGAACCTCCGATTACAGCTCTTTGTTTGAACAACCTTACGTCTTTAAATCCCAGCCCGGCTGATCTCAAACACTCTCTCATCGAACCCGAACTTCTCCGTCACAATTCACTGGTTACCGCTACTAGATCAACGAAACCCACCGCTCCTCGATCACCTTCGCTCAGTTGAATATATGTTGAGAAGATTCGTACCAAAAAACCCCAAATTTATATAATCTTGGAGGAAAAAACCCTAAAGGTTTTATTCAAGAAAAACCTGCCAAAATCTCAACCCGAACTGGATTTCCAATCAACGGCTTCGGACGTTATCACTTCAAACAATCTATAATGCACAACAAATATTATTGTGTGTGATTGTTGTGGTATGAAATGTAGAAGATGAAGATGATGAGAACTTCAATCGGCACCTCTTTCACTTTTCTTGTTTTCTAATAGATTCAATTGATATGAAATGAAATGAGCAACTTTCTATTTATATCAGACCAAAAATAACTGACAAAACCACTTTTCAAAAATGATAGACAAACCAAAATTATGCAGCAAATAGCAAAGGTCGACCCATACAGAGGGAAGGGTCGACCTGAGCTACCCCAAGCAAAACAGACTATGCAAAATAACCTGCTATGCGTCGACCGGAACAAGGTTATGCGTCGATGCAAAGCCTGAATTTTTTTACAAGCAGAAATGACAACAGTATGTGTCGACCGATAGGTCGACCATACCTAACCCGAGAGTTTTGCAAAATTTAGACACTTGTTATGAGTCGACCGGAGCAAGGTGTGGTCGACTTAAACACCTGTATTTTTAGAAATTGCATAATTTTAATGTTTTTGACATACTTACATGATACCTATGACGACCAATGGGATTTTAACTCGTATGACGCGTATTCTAATACTACAAAGTGCAGTACTAGAGATGTGTTGTGCAAGCAAATGAAACATGAAAAATATGGTATGCTTGTGCATTGCGGTGATAACGCCAAACATCTCTTCTTCCATGCGACTGAGTTTTGACATCATCGAAACCCGAATATTTAGTATATGAGGCTTTGCCCTCACAGACCTGCCCTTAAGTCATTACTGCTCCACCTAGGAGCAACGACTTAGGGGGCTCCTATTCTGGACTAGGCCGAGACCTGCCCCTCAGCCAGGCAAGCTCAACTCAATACTATGTTGATGAGGCCTAATAAGGCCCAATCCTCTTTGTCGGGTACAAGCCTCAACAAGGCACACTAATCGGGCAGAGCATTATCTTGCACAGGGAGAGCTCATGTGTTTTCCCCCACGGACTCCACGTGCCCCCCACGCGGGGACACGTCATCAAGAAACTATCCACTTCCGAAAGAGATGGTCAGCCCACCTTCTGAAGATCATGGGGCAGTTGATCCAGGGCGAAGACCACGTGCTGATCTTCACTACACCACGTAAGCCCTGGCAGTTACTTGTGTTGGGCTTGGCAATCCGGCCCAATGCAATGTAATCGTTGGCCCTGCGTTGGGGGCACATTATAAATACCCTCTTTCAATAGAGGGTCAGGTATCTTATTCATTACACATTTTCTATGTACTTGCTCTCTCTCTAGTTCCATTACTCACTTAAGCATCGGAGCATCTTGCAGGTATACCCCCTCCTCCTCTACAACACCGGTGAAGGTAGCAACTCACGACGCGTGGCAGACTATTAATTCCTTTCTGATCAAGTGAGATCAAGAATTATATACAAATTAATTCATTTTTCTATTTAAAATTGTTAACTCATAAAATTTTCAATTTACTAATTAACAAGCACAACCGTATAATTGTTGACATCACAATAAATAAATAAACTTTATCCAAGTAGAGACGTAGAAGATAATAGAAATTATGCTTCTTCTTGATTGTGATGTATATATACGTAATATTTTTATCACTTTATCACTATTTTACTGTTTTTATCTACATTTTATCATTATTTAATATCTGAGAGAGAGAGAGAGAGAGAGAGAGAGAGAGAGAGAGAGAGAGAGAGAGAGAGAGAGAGAGAGAGAGAGAGAGAGAGAGAGAGAGAGAGAGAGAGAGAGAGAGAGAGAGAGAGAGAGAGAGAGAGAGATTTCATCCACTACCAATCAAGATTCTCAATAAAACATTACAAATGGGTTATAATAAATTAGTTCAATAAGTTCACAAGAACAATTTCTACACATTTGTGACTTAAATTCTTCTTCTTTCAATATGTAAGTCACTCAGTCTCAAAGTGTTAGAAATTTTTTCTCAACCCTTTGGTTAATTACAATGATCTTTTAATTCTTAGGATTAAAAATGTTTCTCTAAGTTCCTCTCTCTAAAAAATAAGGTTAAATATGTTTGTGGTCCTCCGAAATATCTCATACTTCATTTTTAGTCCCTCAAAAAAAAATTAGAGAATGGACCTCCTAAAATTTTCCATCCACACTTTCGGTCCCTCCTACAACTTAACGACATAATTAGCGACAGTTTACTACCTAATGACAATTTTAGCAGGAGGGACAAAAAGTATGTGTTAAAATTTTTAGGATCATCATTCTTTAAAGAAAATATTGTGAGGGACTAACAGTGAAATATGGGACATTTAAGAGGACCGCAAAATATTTAACCCAAAAAATTAAGAATTTCTTGCAAAAATATATTTAAAAAATTAAATTTGATGCTGAACTCAGGGACACGCGCCTCGCACAAGAGAAAGTGGAAAACTGCATTAAAACATCCTTCCACGCGCTTCGCTTGTTAGGCATAAGTCGAAGAAGAAAAAACTTCATATTTTGCTATAAATCGACATCATATGTTAATGACATATGATAATTCCAATTTACTACAAACTATCACATACATTCGTTACTAACTCCCACTTGAATAAGGAGTGATCCTTCTATCCTTAGTTAAGGATATTGCATAACTGAAAGCTTAGAGTGATGACCCAAAAGAATTTTGACAGTTTTATCATTAAGCATTCTAAATTGTTCCCCTATTTTCTTCAAGTAACTAGAAAGATATAAAAGAAATCCACATCTTTCTTAGTTTATCATGATATACATCCCTAAAATTAGCTTAGCCTGGCCAATATATTTCAACTCAAATTCTCCTTCCAAAGCATCTTTTATATTATCAAATTCTTTTGTGCTAGAGTTGTTATCAAGATATCATCAACATAGAAAAGTGGATAGATAATGACTTTTGCAGTCCTCATCAAGATGTATATACACATGTTAAACCCATTTCCCATAAAATCATTCTTTAAAAAAATTATGAAACCAAAGATACCATTTCCTAGGACTTTGTTTAAAAATTATGAAACCAAAGATACCATTTCCTAGGACTTTGTTTCAACCGATACAAAAATTTCTTGAAAAGACACCCCTTAAACTTGTCCTCTACAAAACCCTTTGTTTGGTCCATGAATATTGTCTATTCAAAGTCTCCATGTAATAAATCTATTTTGGTATCCATTTACTCAAATTAAACATTATAAATGTTTGATTTAATATAATTGCAAACGTCATGAGAACTTAAAGGGTCACAAACATATGGACATATTGATAAGAGATAGAATAAATAAGTGTGTTAGGTTAAGTCATAGTGGTTACGTAGTAGGTTTTCTTCAAATAACACACTTATTTTAAGTGCGCGTTAACCTAACACACTTATTTATATGAGACAATGATAATTTTAATACTAGTAATACACGTGGTTGTTGTTGCATATAAATAAAACTCCTCAAACCAACCAAGTAATTTATCATTGTCTTAAATTTATACTTACAAGTACTACTTTTTGTCGATCTTAACGTGAATCCACCTAAGTAGGATATTGTTTCTTTCAGTACTTTTAATTTTTTCCTTTCAAGTATGTCTCTGTCTAATCAACGATTAAGCTCTCTCAATAGTTATTTGAAACTTTAGATGTTCCAAAAGAGTATCTACATCGGAGACTTCTCTCTTGAATAAATCATTTTTTCATAGGCGGCAACGATACATATTATCAGTAATACAAGAATATGAGATGAGATGTGAAAATAAATGATCACATCACCTCTACTTATATTAAATATTGCACTTTCCATCTTGTCTCCATTTGAATTAGCGATAGCATTCAAGACTTTACATTCTGGTGTCAATTGGATTGACAACACCATGTGATGTCTCCAATTCAATTGGCGACACCTCTTTACCTTACAAAGAGGTCGTTAATTCATTTTGCGTCTACACTCTATCAACACCTCTTTACCTTGCAAAGGAGTTGCTAATTCATCTTGTGCCTACACTCTATCAATACCCTAAAGTAGGGTACTTTAGAAAATAATTTAAGAAATGAGTTATTTTTAAAAAGTGGAGTATTTTGATAAAAAATTTAAATAATGAAACCATCAATTTCTTAATTAAGAATATCTTTTTAAATTAGTTTGTAACTATCAGCTAGTACAACAACTAATTTATCAATCAAATTAATTTATCAGCTATAAATTATCAATCATCAGCTATCAACTATAAATTATCATGTAATTTTACAAAGAGAGCCTAATATACATTCACTTACATTTATTTTAGTCTGAATACATTTCAGTTAAGTCCAACTAGACGTCTTACCGATACTAACAAGATTTTCGTTATTATTGATGATAATTAAGAAAACATGCGTTAAGAAGCCTTTAATTTTTTACTTCATCTAAAAAAAATGTACTTCTACAACAATGACAACTAATTCTTACAATACAAATGCTAAAGTTGAAAGAAATTACTAACATGAATTTCCATAATTATAATATGTTCTATTGCATTAATTTCCTGACATGTGAACAAAACTGAAAGCAAAACTCCAACTGTCTGTAAAATTCAGAACTTCCTCCTTTCTTTTGCACGTTTCCGAGAACTTTGGCCTCTGATCTTCCAGTGTTCATTCCCAGCTGGTTGCCTCTGCTCTTCGATTTCTCGAACCTTTCGCTTCCTATAAAAAATGTTGATATGAAGTTAAAGTTAACACATCCTGTGGAATGGAAATTTCTGATATTGCATTGTCAAACTTATCTATTACCTGTAAGCTGACTGGTTTTGATCAGCAAGCAACTCGTCTGCAAGCGTTTCCTTCCTCTCTTTCTTCGTTAATCTGCCTGAGAAGTAGTCCAGCGGGGAGCCTACAACTGTTCCGACCTGATCATATACACACGATGATAAAAAGTTCAAGATGAATCGAATCACCTAGAAATCAAATTTTGATGGGACTTTCAAGTTTCAACAACAGTGAACTTACCTGAAAGTACTTTGGAAGAGTCTTTGATTTTGAATCACCCTTCTTGTAGTGTCGTTTTGGATCAAAGGCATCCCTCAACTGTGACCAAAGTGTAAGTGTCATATTTCCACAAATAAAGGCAAACATCAAATCTTTGCGGAAAAACAATATCCTACGCTTGCTTTTCATTCTTTCTTATCATGCTTATCAACTTAATATAACCAAATATCATGTCATCATATTGAAAAATGAATATATTCCAGTTCCTCTTTGGAAGAGAGGGGGGATAGAACATAATGTCCAAAACTCAATCACCTTTAGTAACTTCAGATCTCTCTGCAGCTCAGGGGTCATGGTTTGAGCAGGCATGTCAAACCTGGTAGAGATTTAAATATAATTAGACAAATCCCAATATGATTTCTAACCTAAAAACACACGCATACACACATACACATAGAAATCAAAGGAAATGTATAAATAAATGTTCAACAACAGCCAACTCTCATTCCACTAAGTATAGTCGGCTAGTAGCTACATAGGTCATCTGCAGGACGCCATAATGTTCTATCATTTTATAGAAAAGTGTTGGCTATTTCATTGTAAAACTATCATTCATTTTCTATTAAATTCATAACGGAATTATAAACACAATTCTCTCTTCTTTCAACTCTTGAAAAAATAATATGAACAGTTCTTCATCCCTTCCACTTTTCTATCATGAGAATGAAGAATGATTCATATTGATTTTGCAAAAGCTGAAAGAAGAGAGAATTGTGCTTAAGAACAAAAGATTTCAACCTTGGTTGCATTAAGAAAAGGTAAAACTTGCTTTAAATCATACCATTGTTTTCCAGCAGTATCCTTAACTTGCTGTTTCAATAACTTATTTAATTTTTTGGGATCATTAGGAGGGACAAATAGCCCATCAACCAATTCTGAATTTGGTTTCCATATAGTGCTACTTGGTGCCTTGGCTTGAAGTTGAGCATGAGATGGCTCTTTTGTAGCCTTCGACAGAGATGGAAAAGGCAACTGTGGTTGCCATGACAGACCAATCACTGGCTTTTTCTCCGGCATTCCTGAACCAAAATGAAATGCAGTGAAATTTCAAAACAAAATGCATTAATCCTGAAAAGTTGAAAACTCAAACCAACTAAAAATAAAAATTTACAAAACTACATTAAATCAATGGCACTGACACATCCACATCAGTACATCAGTAATAATTTGAAGAAAAAAATGAATAAACTAAAAGTGTCACTATAGCCGTCACGTCTTTTTTCAGATGTGTCGGTGTTACCGAGGTCTAATATTATCGAAATACATGACAGCACCAAAACAAAATGAATCCATAACACAAACCATAATCTTAAAAACCAACACACTAAGACATATTGAATCAATGAATAAACTGCTTGTGTTTATACAATCTAAACAAAGGTTCTACATCCAATTATTATTTTACACACAATTAGGATCTAATACAATTAATATAGCACTGATGTTTCACTGATAACATAAAGAAGGTACTGAGAGTAAGAACTTGCATAACTAAAATCAATGGTAAAACCATAAACCCTAGAAAATAATGAAGAAAAATAAGTAAAAATCACAGAAATGAAAGGGAAGGAAGAGGTATGAGAGACTGCGGTACCTTGAAGAATCGAGAATGGATTGAGAAGAAGGAGAGAGAGAACGGCGGCTTGAAGACTATAGAGAACGGGTTGAGAGAAATGCTTGAATCAAGTCTAGGATGAAATCGAAGAGTTATGTCGGAAACTATGTTAATGGTCGGGTAAGTTTTTTTTAACTGATTTTAGTAAATGTTAAAATTTCTCTACCATGTCAAATAAAAAACAATTTTTAGATTGGTCATTTTTTAAAATTTTTAGATTGTCCATTAAACTCAATTTTAGAAAATAAATGATGTATTAAAATTATAAAATTATTTTACCCTATTATTTAATAAATGACGGCATTATATTATACCATATTGATAATTTAAAATAATTCAGATGATTTAATATTTATACCGTATATAAAGGGAATACTTTGTTTTGATGTGCCTTATTTTTCTACCATTTTTATCTTTATTTTATTATATAA